TCGGCGGCCCCCGCTGACGAGGCCTCCTCTTCCCTGCCCAGGGCAGCCCGTCGTTTGCAGCACCGAGCGGGAGGAAGCTGGGTGGATGGGAGCCCAGAAACTTGGGGTCTGTTTCTGTTCCCTCACCCGGCATTGCCCCTGTGCAGAGCCCGCCGGGCAGCATCCGTCAGCTTCGTGGGCGCTTCTGTGAGCGTGCTTTTTCTTTGGCATCCCTTCCGTTTCCCCGACTGTATGTTTCAAGTCTGTCACATCCCTCGTTTCCCTTTTAGCCCCCCATAAAATTATTTTTCTCTAGGTCTCTTTTGTGCTAATTCCCTTCGTGGGCCCTAGGAGTTAGCATTTAGTTTTCTTGGGGAAATTGGCAGAAACACGACTGTAAGTAGGCACCCAGGGAAATGCAAGAGCAAAACAAGCATGTGCAATACTGTCCCATGGTATATTGCAGCCTCCCAGCTGTTCTCACCTGGGGTACTTTCTGAGCTGGACATGGTTTCTGTGTATTTGGTAGTCTTTGGTTGTTTGTCCTCCACAAATGTGTCCATCTTCTCTTGAATCTGTGTAAGCTCTTCATTTACAGAACATTCTTTGGGTAGGAGTGGTCTACATGAAGGCAATGTGCAACGAACTGGTTCCTTCTAGCCTGACTCACTGGGTTTGTTTGATAACTTCTTGTTCCAGTATTAGAAAAGAAGGTGAATCACTGCTCTCTATTCAGCCTGCTTGTGTACTTCACTACCTTGTAGACCTCCGGCATGTTTCTCTTGGTCATTTTCTTTTCCAGACTGAGGCATCCTCAGCTTGCTTCCTGGTTCCTTGTATGGGAGCCATTGCACACCTTTGATCATCCTCATGGCCCTTCTCTAAACATTTCCCAGCTCTATCTTATCCTTCTTTAGATGAGAGGACAAGAATTGCAGGCAGTGCTCAATTTGCAGGTGAAAAATGGATTAATATAGTGGCACACAGGAGCAATGGATACACACCAAAAAAAGTGGAATGTATGTTGTCTGAACAAGAGTTGGAAAAAAATGCACTGGGAACTTCCAGAGAGCTAGAAAGCAATCTCATGAAAAATTGCATGCTGGATAGAGAGGTACTGGAGGCTGTGTCATCAGTTCAAAATCCTAGATTATTTTTAGTTGTCACCTTGTTTGACTTTCATTTCACCCCATTTAAAGGATTCATAGAAGAGGAAACAGCGTTTTTCTTGTTTGAGGCAGCTGCAAATGCAACAGAAGTAGCATACTTGGATCCTTCTTTGTTATTGCTTTGAGGGGGGGAATCTGTTGAGCAGTCTTCAAAACTGAGGTGAAGATCATTTGCTGACTGAGATGTAGTTGTTTCGGAATTAGAATTTTAAATTGTTCTTTCTTTGGGCATTTTCTATTACTGCTGGTAAGTCTAGACTTCATAAGTGTGTTACACTTCTAATATGGCTTACTTATCTGCCAGAAGAGCGAAAGAAATGCCTTTTCCTCCAGTGTTCTCACTGCTGTTGCTTATGACAAGGGCATACAGTTGTCTTTCCAAGCACGTATCTACCCATTCTGGTGATCTAGGGGGTTTTGCCCCATTTTATTTTGTGTGGTACAAGTGACTTTTCAGTGCAGTGCACTTAGTGTTTGTGTTGCTGATTAACTCGTATACATGACGTGAAGAGATACTGGTGTATATTTCATTTTGGATTGACAGAATGATAAATGTGATACTAAACACCCTAAACCTTGTTTTGTTCAATATATTTCCAATTCTTGTCTTATTTAAGAAGATAGGCATTTTCTGTTCATTCCATGAAAAATGTTATCATTGAAGTCTTGATTTGCTCAGAATAACTTATAAATTGCTTTGAAAATTCTGTTAAAACACAAATACATGTGTCCTGATACAGGCAGACACCACTAACAGTTTATTTATATTGCGATCTCTAGTTTCTAACTTCTAGATTTAAAAGTTGGGAGTTAAAAGTAGACTGGTTTAGACTTGAAGTAATATGCAACCAGAGTAATTAAAAGGCTTGTTGTGGGATGTGAAGATTGACACCTCAAGTTTAAAGTTGAATGGCTTTATGAAAAGAGCTGTTTTATGTCCAGAGGAAATCAGTGGCTACAAAATCTCAAGCAATGTTGCACAGTAGGTCAAACTGGAGAGCTAAAAAATCTGGAGCATGAGTTACAGTTAAACCTTTTCATCACAATTCTAAATGACATAAATTCTAAATGACATAAATGTGTCATCTTTAATATAGTAATTATAACAGACTTTTGGCAATGAGTCCTTCTGTATGGAGACTTACACTCTGTGAATTAGCCTTGTTGCCTTTCAGACTGTAAAATAAATGGGCCAGGGCTTCAAACTGCTGTTGTTTACAGAAAACTTAACAGAAGCCAAAGAAGCCCTCAGTCTTGTGATGTGATCTACATGGCCTAGCAGACTAGGCTTTTTAATTATATGTTAGACTAAAAATTCATAAATCTGCTTAGTTCCAGTAGATCTGGAAAAAAGTAGCAATATATTTACTTTATAGTATCATATATTTGCTTTATAAAAGCTTTCACCATATGAATAACAGGCAGCTCAATTTAAAAGTAATGGACAAGCCCAGTTTATGTATTACAGTATAATGTGCTTAGTACACTACTGTACTATAGCAGCATGAAACCAGGATGAGAGTACAATGAAATTGGCACCAATTTCTCCCAGTGTCTCTATCAACTTATCTAAACTACTGCTTTCCTTCATTTGTGTAATACATTCACCATGGAATAAACCAGTTAGCTTCCAGTTTGGGTTCTGGGTAATCCCAGAGTATGGCCTCAGGAGAAAACTATTGGATTTTCTAAGGAATAACATACAAATTGATTTCTCTATTGTTACATTATTATTTTAGTTAGGCATATGACATACTTTAATTGAGTCTTTTTGTCAAATATATCTGCTCTGGGATTAAATCAGTAGCAATTACTGGCTGTTACTTGCTGCTGTGTGCATTTCTCAGAGTGCAATTTTAGGTATTGTGTTGGAATAACTTAAAAAAAAATGTCTTCAGGGGCAGCAGACCTGCGACAGAGAAAGAAGCAAAACTGTACAGAATCTGACAAAATGGCTTCAGAGGAGAGAAACAAAGAAAACGCAAAGCTGGGAAGATCGCCAAAGTGTAAGCTACAGAATTTTTAGCCAACTTCTGATTTATTTTTCATTATTCTTTAACATTTTATGGGAAGATATTTGTAGCACAGTAATTTATAACAGACTTATTTTGAATTAGGTTTTTGAATGTTTCAAGAAAAAACAGGCATGCACTTTAGAATTCTTTAATAATGACATTTTATGTATTGCAGAGTGAAACGGTAGTTCTGGATTGTTTCAGGTTGGGGGCGGGGGGGAGGGGAGAGGCAGATGGGTTAAGAATCTTACTGTTGTTACTATTTGAGTACAAATAAATATTTTAATTGCGCCTGGAGTGATCTTTTGGTTGGGGAGCTGAAAGGCGTGAAGTAATGGTACTGAAACATGAACAGACAAAAAGTTCTTACAGCTTTTCAAGAAACAGAACTAAACCCAGGTGTAATTTTAGGCAAGTGCTCACGAGCTACCAAAAACTTTTATATTAGAAATGCGTACTAACTTGAAGGAGCTACAGGTGAAGTAGACACCCATTGAATGAGTTTGGTAAAATTCAGATTAGTTCCTTCCTCTCATATTTAAAAACAGAATGGAGAATAGAATGTGTTGGTATTGATGCTAGATGTTGTATTGCCACCTCTTTCTGTTAATGCCTCTAAGAAGTTTGTGGTGTTCTGGGTTTAGAGTTTGCTCTGTTTACTTGGAAGACACTTTTTCTTCTTGGAATTCATTTGAAAATGAAACTTACTAGCATGGAGAGAAATCTGCAGTGTAGTGTGTGAGTATTTTTTTTGAGAGTCGTATGAAGCAATGGTAACAACTGGGAAAGAAAATTCTGCAGGACAGGAGTAACAAACGAGTTCTCAATGTATCTGTGCTGCTGATGGTGTGATAATTCGGATGCTAGTAAGTTTACTTGCTGTTCAGAAATGAGTCATATGTAGGGCATACTGTTTGTTTCTAAATCCTCTGGACTATTTTAGCTTTTTCGCTGTCCCTTTTCAGATATGTTAATTCAGCGTTTTGCGAAACTTTTCTTTGGCTGTCTTGCGGCAGTCACTAGTGGAATGATGTACGCTGTGTACCTCTCAACATATCATGAACGGAAATTCTGGTTTTCCAGCAGGCAGGTAAAGAAAAAGTTAAACTACTGAAACAAAAGCCAAATTGTATCCTTGAAATCAAAGCTGATCCATGTCAGGTTGGAACTACTTGCTTATAGAATCCTGTGTCCTCTTGCTCAGGCCTCTTTTTTTTGTTTTCTTTCTTTCTTTTTTTTTTTTTTTTAAGTGTTTCTCCTACTACCAGTAGTCTTGTCTTGTCATGCTTTTGTATGTTTTTCCATGCCACCCTTTATAATTGAAATACCTTTCTAAAATTTGGAGAAAAAACTGAAGCATACTGGGATTGCATAAGCTAAACAACAGGAATGTATGTTTTGGGTTTGTTTTTTTTAAGAACTGTATTATTTAGTGAAGTATGGAAAGTTGAATGAAATTCAGGTTTGTGAATATGAAAGGATCCTGTGGATCTTGTGCTGACTTATGATGTAGATTTGAGTTGCTCTGATTCCAAGCATGTTTGCTAAGTTATAGAGGCCTTTATATACCTGACGGAGGTGCTGTGAAGATTAATGTTTTGTGGAATACTTTGAAGATGTACAGTAGAGTCATAACCAAGTGCTGTATTACAAAACCAGTCTATCTGAAAATATATAGTCTTCTATGGGAAGAGATTGCAGGAGGTGAATATATTTTTTTTTTTCTAGGAACTTGAACGAGAAATTACATTTCAGGGTGACAGCGCCATTTATTACTCATTCTATAAAGAACTGCTAAAGGCTCCTTCCTTTGAAAGAGGTACAAACCCTGTTTGTTTTATTAACCTTGAAAAGTCCTGTTCCGTTTGGAGATAGTAAAAAACCTCCTGCAGACTGGGGAGACTGATTTTATACTCTTATACAGGTATATCAGTCAGATTAAAAACTGCAAACTGTCCTAACTTTTCAGTGCCTTTTAAAAAAACAATATTTAACTATCCTGTATTCCACCAGATCGCCTTTAATCACTACTTTGCAGTGGGATTAATATTACTCTCATACTGCCCCGTATGGAAGTTATCATTGGGTTTGCCTATGCTACATAGTGGATTTTCTGCCATGTAAGCATAATTTATGTTTAATCTGGGAGTGGGGGATGGAAATTACTGTTTTCCATCCTCTGTGAGAAGATGGAACAGTTTCTGTCAAGAGTTGATCTGCTCCATCCTGTCCTTGCCAGAGGTTTCTACTCCTGTCAGCTATGATGAATAGATGTTGATGAGCACTGAGTGATGGGGACAGAAATCAAAAGGAAGGAGAACAAACTGGGTGGCCATGGTCTCTCCTTCCTTTGCACCCCTGATCTTTATCCTGCGCTGGCTCTAGAGCTCACTCACCCTAGGTCCCTAAACCAGCAGAAAACTAAAGCAATGAAAAGAAGATGGAACAATTTAATGCTAGTTTAGTGAGTTCAGAAGGGCAGCTGGCTAGCATGGGGAAAAGGCGAGAACTCCAGAAGAGGGAGTGAACAGCCCTATCTCTCAGTGGTCAGCCGTTGAATTAGTTCAGTCCCCTTGTGAAACCTCATCTGAAGCCAGTTAAACTTTGTATGTATAGTTTTATTGGTTAAACAGTTTCCCAGCTGATGTGTAGCACGTCAGCAATATATAATGGGTCTTCGATACAGTCAGTTCCTCATTATCTCTGGGGAGATCACCCTTGCTCTGAATAGATGGACTGCCTCGTCCAGGCATGCTGCCTGTGCAAACAGGTAGACTCATGTGTCTACTAGGTATTATGGGGGCACGCAGTTTTCAAAGGTGTATCATAGCTGTGCTGGACCCAGTTATAAGTCCTGCAAGACCTGGTTTGGCCTGCAGAGAACCAGCTGCAGACCACACACCAAGATACACTCAGAGATGGAAGCAGTTAGCTTGTTTGGCTGTTGCATTGTTGTTGGGGGTTTTGTTCCTTCCCCCCCCCCCCCTAATTTGGATTATTTTTCCTCTTCCCTCTATTGTCCTAAGTAATGACAAGTCTTTAAATATAATATCTCAGAATCATGTATCCTTCAAGTATGCCAGCTTCAATTTTATCTTGATCCCATACAAAGGCGTATTGTGTTGAGTGAGTGATTCTCAGAAGTCTCAGAAACACAGGGCTGAAAATGGTGACAAGGCCATCATATCTGACCTCTTTGTGGAGATGGGTTTAATGCATCCTGCTTGTCCCTATTAGATATTTGTATCACTTCTTAACCTCCTGTGAAGGTGATCTGTAGGTAGCTGGTTCCAGGGCTGCATCAGTAGGTTACTGAAAAGACTGCGCTTTAGCTGGTTAGTTTTGGGCCTTCTATTTAAAGACTAGATCAGAAAATGGTAGTAACTTTGTCACTAAATTAGTACGGTGGAGTGGCATCTGGCACAGAAATTTCTCCTTCCTTTAAAATTAGGAGTGGTGAATCAGTCAGTAGCTTTAATGGTCAAGTCTGTTTCCCCCTACTTTTGAGTATGCTTTCACCTCTTTTAAGAACAGCAATAGTAAGTGATTCCAAGAATAATACTTTTTTTTTTGTCTACAGGTGTTTATGAGTTGACACACAACAATAAGACAGTATCACTGAAGACGATAAATGCAGTCCAGCAAATGACTTTGTACCCAGAGTTGATTGCCAGTGTTTTATATCAAGCATCTGGTAGCGAAGTATGTGCATTTCTCCTACTTCCTGTGCTTTCGTTGTGGTTGTGTATGTGTGTGTGTATGAGACTTTCTATGCTGTATACAATAAACACATGCAATATTTGCTGAATGAGTTGAGCTACGCCTCTCACCAGATCCAGGTTCTCCTCAATTATGATCAGTCTCTGGCATAGGATTTTGGGGGTTTATATGCACTAAACTTTTCTGTCTGTTATTCTTTACTTCTACAAACTGCTTAGAAATTTGGAGAGTATCTGTGCTATCCATTAAAAACAGGAAAGTTAGCTCCTTCGGAGTACAGAAGTCTGTTATAGTGGTACCTGTCTCTAGGCATTCCCATATAGATAAAAGAGAAAAACACTTTTGTAGATAAACCTTTTGTCTCTCTCTGCTCTGCTCAGGCTTTGTTCTGCTTATGCTGCATACTTGTGTCCTCTCTCATTTACCTTTCTTTTTTTATTAATTTTGGAACCGTTTTTGCCACATCTTTACTTCTCCAAGTTTCTCCCCTACATAACTTCTTCCAGTAGTCCTGTGAACTTTGTATCTCACTGCAGTATAGATTTATTAAATCTGACACATAACAATGTTCATGCTAAAACAAATACAAAAATCATGGCACTAGCAAGCTGAGTCCTGAAGTGTGCTTTTAATTCACACTGCTTTGTTCTCCCTGAGCCCAAAATAAAAGCATGCTCAATACTTTTCTAGAATAGGGGCTGTCTCTTACCTGTTTGTAAAGCACCTAGCACACTGTTAGCAGTATGCAAATAGTAAATAGTAATCATTTCCAGCTTCAGCTCAGTTGCCGCTATGTCTCTTCGTTTTTATTTGTAATTTCAGGAAGTTATTGAACCAGTGTATTTCTACATTGGTATAGTTTTTGGACTGCAGGGAATTTATGTGACTGCATTGTTTGTAACCAGTTGGGTTATGAGTGGGACTTGGCTGGCAGGAATGCTGACTGTAGCATGGTTCATTATTAACAGGTAAGAAAAACATCTTTCTACAATCTAGTTTGTGAATAAGGCATTTTAAAATATTAGAGCGGATTGAAATGCTTTCTATTAAACTTTGTGTTCTCATTTTGAGAGCAAGCTCTTATGCTGAATACAAAACATTTCCCAGAGATGCACTCATTCTCATGATGCTTTTATTAATGGAAAGGCCTCCTGTTGTCCAAACCATCCACACTGCTAGATGAACTGACTTGATGTATGTGTGTGAATACAGGAGTGTTCTCACGCAATTCCATTTTGCAAAAACATTCCTCAGAAGGTTTTGGTTTTGTGCTGGTGAAGAATGAAAACAAATTTCCAAAGCTGCTGTAAAACAGAATTCTTCTCTGTGTCCAGCTCTAAATGTTGTGACGGTTGTTCTGTTGCTTAGAAGGAAATGACCTTGATTTTTCTTGTAAAGAGTCTTTGATTTTTTATTTTTTTTTTAATCTGCATTTTGTAGTGGGTTTTTGTGCAAAGTGGAATCTTCTTAGAGGATCCTGATCTCAAGGGTTTTTTTATTTTAAAACATTTCACTTGCAAGAAAATGTTCCTTCCCTTTATGAAACACTGCAGTAATCGAGAGCCTCATTTGGGCAATGAGAACTTGTGTTCAGGCTCCTCGTTTGTCACCAAGTAGCTCTGGGGCTTTCTGTGAGCTTGAGAGCACTTGAAAGAAAAGACTTATGGAGGAGCAAAATGTTAGAGATATGCCTTTAAAGTTGAACTGTTGGGAGGCTTCTTTTAGGAGTGTGAAGTCATCATGACCAAATCTGTGATTAGTAGCTAAAAATACTGCTCATCAAGCTGGTGTAAACAGTAGAAAGTAGGAAAAATGGTGAATAAAGCTGTATTTTTTTCAACAGCAAAGAAGATTAAACAATGTTAACAAATTGAAAGGTCTAGTAGTTAAAAAAGCTCCAAATACGCCTCTGTAAGAGGCTTCAGAGGTAAAAGTAAAAGGTGATGCTTTCAAATATCTAAATGATTAAGGAGCTTGAGGCTTCTTTTTAAAAGCATAGTAGACACAAAGAAGACTATGTACCTCTGAAACTGATGCCTTTGATCACATTTGAAAGTGTGACTTGTGCTTCTAAGTCACTTTAGCACTTTTAAAACTTTCTCCTACAGCTCTAATTGTGCAGATACTGTCAAGTCATTCCATGAGAAGACCCTGCATGCTCCCCATCCGTCTTTAATCTCTTGTTTTGCTGGGCAGAGTTTTCCCTGTAGACAGAGTATCTGCTGGTGCTGCTGCTATGAGGGAGCACTACTTTGGATTCTAAGTATGTTGTGCTCGACCGCTTAAATCACTTATTTAAAACATATTGTGTGAGAACTGAAAGGAATCTTTTCTCTCAGCTGTGAGCTGATTTTCATTGTAATGTGAAAAGCTGCTGTTACAGCAGTGATCCCCTGCCTACGGACATAACATAAGACCATTTAGCACTGCTCATGGCCAAAGAAGGCTCCATTGTCACAGTGCAGGTTGGCAGAAGCAGTGCATGTTGCGTGCAGTGCGTGATGCGTCCGGCTCACACAGTGTTGTGGGCCAGAAAAGGCTGGAGGCAGATGGTCTTTGGCTTCAGTCCTGTAAATGCCACCTAATAAGGAGACCTGCTGAATAAATAACTAAAGATTGGACCTTCCATGCTGATATTAAATTTGTGACCTGTATCAGCAGTGAAATTGTGTCAGTATTACTTTACAGCTAACACAGGAATAGTTTGCTTGCAAGGCCACACTGATAACTAGAAGTGACATTTAGGCTTTCCTTGATACTTTTGTTCCATAAATCTTTTAATAATTTTGTTTGTCTGTACTTTATTCTAGGACAGATACAACAAGAATTGATTACTCCATACCATCAAGGGAAAATTGGGCTTTGCCATATTTTGCATGTCAAGTAGCAGCTCTCACAGGCTATTTAAAAAAAACCCTAAATTGTTCTGCTGAGGTAAAGCAAAATTAATTTCTTAATAAAGAGTTGCTGGTAGAACTGTGCTCTAGAGTAGTTACCTCTCTCACTATTGCCCTATTAAGCAGAAAACAATAGATGTTTTGTTTGTTCTTTTCAAAACAGCCACTTGGATTTCACCTAGGCATGTGCAGTTTTTGCTAAGCGACTCGTGCCCTGCCCTGTTATGCCCCCATGAGGGTTCAGAGAGAACAGTGTGGTAAAGAGCTGTGTGCTGTCTTTTTAAAATAAACTGATGCAGATTTTTTCTCACTGTGTAAATTATTTTGTTGCTCTTCCTGTTGCTTGGAGAAGATGGTGGTAACTTCCTTTCCCTGTCTCACTGTCAAAGATGTTTCTTCTGATTGGTTTTAAATGTTTTTGAATGTTTCAGTAATTTCTTCCATCTGACAATGTTAAATATGTCTGAAGTCAGTATTTTGATTATTTCCTAAAATAATAATTAATTTCCATAGTTTCTGTTTTAATGACCTCTCAGTTACTTAGTGACAGAGATGCATAGTATGAAATTAATGCTTTTTTTTGGTTTTCTTTTTTTCTCTAGAAGTTTTGTTACCTTTTGGTGAGTGCTTCAACGTATACCTTCATGATGATGTGGGAATACAGTCATTACCTCCTGTTTGTCCAGGCTGTTTCTCTTTTTCTGCTAGACAGCTTTGCCCTGGCACAGACAGAGAAGGTATTAGAACTCTTCAGCCTACTGATAATTGGGGACTTAAATACAGCCTCAGAGGTGCCTGCCGTAAATAATGCTCAGGAGCTCCAAAGGGTGCAGACTGAGTGAGGACTTGAGCGTCTTGCAGCGTGGGTCCAGCTGAAGTGCATGTCATGTCCGTCAGAAGAATAAAATGAGTTTAAGCTCACTGTCTTTTGGACTACTGTGTTTGGGACAGCTTTCCTAACAAAAGGGTCAGAAGCGAGACAAAGCTGCTGAGACCTCAAACTTCCTTGGAGAGCTGAAAGAGTGATGAATGATACTCAGTCATGCATCCTTTTTGGCCTAGCTGCCTCTTCTTTTCTTTCCCCTATTCACAGTAGGGTGGGGCTGACCAAAAAACTGCTCTGTTGGCTCCGTGCAGTTAAAGGGCTCATATTCACCCTGAATGGCCCACCCTGTACTGATTTAGCCAGTAAATAGGCTAGAGAGATGCTGAAGGCCAATTGATTTTTCAATACAAGAAAGTGTTTGAATTTATTCTGCAAAATGGTTCTTAGAAATGTTGCAACAATAAGGCATTTTTACTCTGCCTATTGCCATGGTATATATGCTACTTTGTACATGTGTGCCTTCTAGTTTTATTAGATGTAACTTCCGTTTCAAACTGCATGCAATTCTAATTCATCACTTCTTTCAATTGCTTTTTTTTCTGTTCCTCAGCAGTGGGAAATGTTTAATCTATTTTAGTTCAAAGCAGGGTCCTTAAAATAAAAGGGAGAAGATGAGTGTTTTGGTAAAAGTCTAAAAAATCAAGTATCAGGGTTTAGAAGATCTGCTTATCAATTAGTAAATAACAGAAAGTATCAGTAACAGTCTGTATATTCCTAAGATAGGTTAAATGAACAACTTATTGTGAGGGCAAGGAAAGCGCATGTTTACAGTAGTCAGCTCTTTCACACAAATTGTGTGTTCATACGGTTGCATTGTGGTTACTTCTTCATGCTGCATCATAGTGAGGTGTTACTGAATGGGGAGGCTTTGTAAAATACTACTACTTTTGGCATTTTTACAGAATTCTTGTGAAGTAATTGTGCATTAATTAGTGGGGCTGACCAGGATCGTTTGATGTGAAATACTTTCCAGAGCCAAATGGTACCCTGCTAGATTCATGAGTTGGAGGATAGAGATCCATTAATCCCCTGATTAACAGAGGAATGGAGTGAGCTATCTAATTCTCTAAAAAGCAAGACGTGTATCAACTGCAATTTTATTTTATTGTGTTTTATTTTGTTTCTTCAACAGGTCCATGAAGTATACAAAATCTACTTGTTTTCTCTCTTCTTGGGGTACCTTTTGCAGTTTGAAAATTCAGCCTTACTGGTGTCACCATTACTGAGTCTTGTAGCAGCTTTAATGCTCTCTAAATGCCTTCAGGTAACTAGACTCTCCTCTAACTCTGTGTGTAGTTTTTATTATTTAAACTGAACTCCAAATGATATGGCATTCTTAAAATATTTTTGCAGATGAATATGAAAAAAGGTACATTTATGTCAAGATTGCTGAAAATAATGTACATTTATTTGGTACTTACAATAACAGTGACACTAAACTTCTTACTAAAGGTAAGATTCCTCTGTAAAAAGTGATTTTATTTGTCAAAATGTAAATGGAAAGTTGCAGATGTATCTTGGAAAAATCTTTTGAAATGTTGCTTAATCTTACTGATCTGAGAGTTCATCGCTTAATTCATAGCAAATTGGAGTACTAAAAATTGAGTCATTCTGTATTTGTATAAAAAGTCTTTAACAACTCAAGCAGCTGTTTCTTGTTGGGGTTTTGATCTTTTGGGTTGAGGTTAAAGCATGGCATAGAAAAACTCTTTAAATCACACGAGGTATTTCATAAATGTGGGCTTTGTTATAACTTGGATGGCCTCTACAAACTGGTCTGAATATTAAAATGATATTCTTGTGTATGGAGAAGACCTAGTAGCCAGGAATCGGTATGAGTAGTCTCAGGGTAGATGTCAATTTTCAATTAAGTTTCAACTAGAACATGGGAACAGAGACCTTTGCTTAGTGTCGGAGTCAGCTAGGAGTTGAGATTACACAATAGGATTTTAGCCTGGTCTTGTATTTTGGTTAGCAACTCCCTCTTGCTGGCTCTAGTCTTTTGCATAATTTATTGTGTTTTTCCTCTATGTCTCAAACTCACCCTGGTTGTGTTAATTAACAGTGTCGACTTAAAAATAAAGAAGCTACTGAACCCTAAAAAGTTAGAGAGAAGTTCAGATCTGATTATTTTCTTGTGCCATTCAGACTGGCTAGCCTTGCTGTATCTCCAGGAAAATAAAACCTAACCTTGAAAAATATGACTTAAATTACATAGACAGTACACAGAACTTTTGGCTGCTCAAACAATTTATGTGAAGATTACAAATGCTTATAACTTTTGCTAGACTGCAGTCCTATTGTTTAGTGGAGCCAAATGCAATGTTCTTTGGCTTGCTTGGGGGTAAGTCTATGTTTTTCATAATCCTTTTTACACTGCTTGGTAGTCTTCTGACAACTTATTGACAGATTTTCACTTGCCCTCCTGTTGGGGTACATGAATGAAATGAAGGGAATGATATTCTCAAGGAAGCCCTAAAGATAGATTGGTTTAAGTGAAGATTTACGATACTATACCAGTACCTTAATTGGCACACTTAATCCAATTTGTTAGTTTTAACTTAATCTTGAATAGTTGATTGTTCCCATTTGTAATCTGAATGAAGTGACCACATGAAATCTGCTTCCAGCACTTCATAAGATTTTTCTCTGCTAACTTAATTTTCAGATGGTTGTTCCTCATAAAGAAAATGAGCATTTGCTGAAGTTCATTGAAGTAAAACTTGGCTTAAACACAACTAAGTAAGTTTTTAAACTCTTTACACCTTCTAAGCTATCCAAACTTCTGAAACTGCTGTGAGTGTAAAATTTCAGTGGGTTGTGAGAATTTTATAGAGGAGTTAGGGAAACAGTTTCTATTTGTCACCTGGTTTTAAGATTGTCTTAAAAAAAGATGCATATACAGAATTCACTTAGGATTTTGGGGTTTATGAGGCACCTCAATATTTTTCATGCCTTGGGGTGAAAACATTTAATAGATTTTTGTTTTCTTTTGATGCTGAAGAGCAAAAACTTTCTGTACCCTGTCTAGTGTTTCTAATAAGACTTGAAAGCAGAGATAATAGGGTGAAGGTGGTGGTACTACTAACCTTTTATAGCCTGGAAAAGAAAGGGCTCTGAAAAGAGTCATGAACTATTGGTACTATCTCAAAACAGGGCTGGGTTGTGGGGTTTTATTTTTAGTTTTGTAGGAATAACACCCCAGAAGAAAACCCTGTATGTTTTGGAAGAAATTCGGACAAGAGACGACTTAAAAGTCAGAGGGAATTGTTGTGATTTTAAGAAAAAATGTTTGCATCTGTAAAGAGTTGAATGTTGGTCTACAAGAAGATGACGTCATGGCTACAGATTTTCTGCAGAACTTCAAATGGAGTATTGGTAAGGACTGAGACACCTCCTGGACCCAAGCCAAGACTTGCAATTTTGTGCAGGAATTGGGACTCTCTCCGGGAACTGCATCTCTCTTACAAAACTACTTCACAGCCTTTCAGGGGAAGAAGTGCAAAATGACATTACACATAAATGAAATTGTTGGGGAATTTTTGGAAGACAAGATGTAATGACATCGACTAAGATGCAGTGTTTAACACACATACATGCTCATTTGTAAGTGTTTTGCAAGAAAAGAAAGGACTGCTGCTGGTCAGGATTTCAGTTTCTTCAGCTACCAGGTATTATGGATTTTATTTTTTTTCCCCCAGGGACTTGCTACGTGTTACTTTCCAGGCTGTCAAACTCTGCAATGAAGACAGTGATTGAGACAAACTGGGTGCAACTACGCCTAGAAAATTGTGTAACTGTGGGTTGGAATTATGGTTTGCAGCACAAGAGCTTCAAGACCTGTCTTCTAAGGCCAGTTTGGACATGCCCAGCTGTTAATCTTTAAACTGATTCTGTCCAATTGAAAGTGGTTCAGTTCTCTAGTCTTCCCTTGGGGGAAAAGAAACAGAAAAGAGGGAGGAAAGCAAAACAAAATAAGACAAGAATGCATTCAAAGCATCACATGCTGCACCAATTCCAGTTGAGAATACACATCGATAGTGCTTCTTGGCAGAGTATATAAGCTTTCTGCTCATTAATTGAGAAAGAAGAATGATCAAGTGGGTTCGGCTACAGAACTAGAATTTCAGCATTAAGGATTCTATTCTTGGCAGTGCCTCGGGCTTGTGATCTCAGATGACCACTTTCCCTTCTTCATCTCCCCGTTTGGAATGAGGACAAGCATACCTTCTTGCATCAGTATCTCTAAAATCTTAATCCACTGTGACAATGAAGTGCTTTGTGGTCCCCATAATGGAGTTAAATGGGAGGTTGGGTTTTTGTGATATGAAAGAGTTGTAGTCTGGTCTCTTCAGATCACTGATTCTTTTTTGAAAGATAAGCTCTTGACAGTTACTCTAAAGAGTACTTGCAAAGTGGTTTCAAATGATAAAAAGATAACTTTTCAAGGATTAATTTGAAATAGTTTCCTATGACATGAATAGGTTAAACTGTGATTGGTTGTGTGCAGGGGTTTTTTTGCTAATCTGTGGGGTATTGCTGTTGTTTTTAATGGGATGTTTTTGCCTCACTAGGAATTTTACAATGAATTGGCTCCTTTGTCAAGAATCTCTTCAGGCACCCTCCCAAGACTTTTTTTTGCGACTAACACAGTCATCACTGTTGCCTTTCTATATTTTAGTATTAATTATCTGCCTTTTTTCTGTAACTCAGGTCATTTTTAGGAGAATTTGGTAAGTAACTTATTTATACTGAAAAATAAGTTAAAAATAAGAGGTTCATGAATGTCTTAAGTGAATGGTCATCATAATTGTTGCTCCAAAGTTTGTTGCACTGTGTAGCTTGCCAGGGTGTGAGCACGAGTGGAAAGGCCCACCAGAGTCTCCTAAAGAAAGTCCTTTAGTGAGGAGCTTCCTGAGCATCCCTCCAGTCAGGACAGGGAGTTGTCATTGGTTTGTTTCCCCATAGGTGCAATTCCTGCAGAGCTTTAGCTAATGTTTTGTGATGTGTTTATGTCTCTTCCCACTGCAAGGGAGAAAGATGTTTTGTCTGTTTTCCCCTTCCAACAGAAAAGTTATCTGACTGTTGCTAGCGAATTTGTTTCTCTGTTTTGGGTTTGTTTGTTTGTTTTTTTTCCCAAGTTTACATACTGCGAAGGATGAGATGGGTGGAGTTGAGAGGATTTCAGATTTCTAATGCTTCACTGTTTGGTGGTTTTGTTGGGTTTTTTTGGTTTTTTTTTAAATCTTGTTTACTGTGATAAGGTCCATCAGCCTTTGCTGCTCAGAACAGAGCTGAAGTAAAACTGACTCAATTATTTGTAGTTTCACAGTGATTCACAGTTCCCTTGAGAAAGGGTAGTGGAGCTGTCTGTTTACAGACTAAGAATAGCAACACTGTAGATCCTAGAGTAACTTGTCTTGGAAACTCAGTGGCTAGGAAATTATCTCTTTCTGGTAGAGGATGAGTTGTGTAACTGTTCAGGTATTAGGGCAAATTTCTCACCTGTCTGCAGCAAAAATCAATAGATTTTTTTCAAGGACCAAGACTTCTAATAGATAAAGATTATACTGCTATAAATGAAAATATTTGTCAGGTTGGATGTGTGATAGTATATTCAAAACAGTGAAACAAACTTCTGATTTTTTTGCTAGTGGTTGAAATAGCTATTTACTACTTTGTAATGAGCAGTGACTCCAGTATGGCCAACAGCTTTTTAAATAAAAGCTTAAAATAAACCTTCTCCCTCCTCAATTTTTTATTTTATTTTGAAGCAGTTAATATTTTCCCATTTGTTGTGAGGAAGCTTATTATAAAATTGTAACCTGAAATTATATCATGGTAGAATAAAATGTTATCCATTGTGTACCTTGTTATCTCATTTGTAGAAAAACGTTTGTTGTAAGATTTTGGTTCTGATTTTTATTTATAATATATTACTGATATAGGATTTATAATAATGTGACTAAAAACTGGTTTTGTTATCTTATTTTGTTATAAAATGGTATACTCATTCCATGTACAATTATCGTCCCACAGATTCCATAATTCTTCACCAAGTTAATGATATGAAGAAACTTAGTTAGAATGCATGTACAGCATGCTTCATCTAAATGATTGTGGAGTGTGCATGCTCTTAAATTAGACTGTCTCTTGGTGCTGAATTACCTCAAAATAGGATTTATGGTCATAGGCAGTGATCCTATTGTATCAATTCATAGCCATTGCTCCAGAGAGCTTACCGTCTAAACCAAGGGCCAGCAGGTACTGATAGATCATTGATGAAGTACAAAAACCAGATAAGCAGTGCAACAATATTTTATGATATGGCACAGAATGATCTCAGTGTACTGGTGACTTTACAGTCATAAGAGTATTTTTATTGGCACCTTTGCCTGAGGTAATGTCTGAATTAAGTGATGTCTCATTTTCTCCAACTGCAGTGGTGAACCACTGAAAGAGACAGTTAAACTTGAGGATGGTCGAATTGGAGAGAGGCCAGAAATAGTTTATCATGTAATTCACACAATTTTACTTGGTTGTCTAGCGATGTGTTTGGAAGGGTAAGTCTGATTTTGATGTATCTCTTTTGAAAGCAACAGAGAGTTCCTAACTGGACATGATACGCCACTCACCCCTTTGAAATTCATCCCTTTTCAGAAGTGTATTTGGCATATAGTGGTACTAGTTAGTAGGGGAGAAAGCAAAGATCGGTTTGACTATAAATTGGATACGGGTATATGATGAATTGTGCTTGGTCTCTTTAACGTGTTTTCCAAGCTTTAATGCAGCCAAATCTGAGACATTAATTGAAGCAAATTTTAATCACTTTCTTTGTTGTATTTAAGTGTAGAACTGTGCTGTAATTCTTTTAGTATTGTATTCTAGCAAGATCTTGTGTAGTGTTTTGATGAACAATGTATGCTCTGGAATATTGGGACGTGAAAGATTTCTTATCCATCTTCTTGTGTCTAGGCTAGCATGAAGTATACCTTTGCTTGACATGTTAAAGCAGTAGCAAATCTATTTTCAAAGGTATTGTGTCAGTCCTTAAAGCTACGGAAGCTAATGTTTGGAAGACGTTATTGTTTTAATCTTTGCTCTCAGCTAAATCAGCTTGAAGGTGTCAGACTTGTGTTTGTATTACACTCATTGTCCTAAAATCTGAATATTCACCAATTCTTAAAGTGAGCAGACTGTTGTGTTACCATGTAATTGTTTTAACTTGACTAGTCTATCCTTAAGAGGTAGCAATACCAGTTTATTAAATATTTTCCTTTCCTTTCTTCAGGAACTCCCTTATAGTACAGTGTCTGTATAGCTTTGCTGAATAGCTGCTTTTTATCCTTGCTTGGCTGGAAAACTGTAACAGCCAAGTGACTTTACTAGTCTCTTTCTTTTTCTTTCATCCCCCCCCAAACTCTGTGAAGGATTTTGTCATTTTACCTTGGATCTCGCTCCTACATCTTGCAGCAGATAATCAGGTGCCTCCTTTTCTGCTAGAGATTTTCTTGGTTTACCCTTCAGTGCCATCAAATTTGATCTCACATTGCTTGAACATCTAGACTGTGTTTGACGTATGAAAAATTATCTGTATGTTTTTATAAATAGCTTGAATAGAGAGGCATGTGCAGAGTCCCAATTAAGTTATTGCAATGTTTTTCAGAATGAAGTATCTATGGACACCTTATGTTTGCATGCTTGCTGCATTTGGTGTGTGCTCTCCTGAGCTTTGGATGACGCTTTTCAAGTGGCTTCGACTGAAAGCTGTGCACCCGATATTGCTGGTGAGTTGCTGTTGCTGATATCTTGGGAATTACAGCTGGCAAGCATATAACTTTTCAAACAATTACCCAAGATCTATAGAGGAACTCATTAAAAGAACATGTAATTTTGTGAGCAGTGGATTTCAGATAGTCTGCTTTTTCTGTGTCTTTTGTTCTTAATATCACGTTTTCACATGTTCTGTGGTAGCTGGTGATAAAGTTGTGTTCACACTACAGCCTTTTCTCCTAAGAAGCATGAAGTCTTCATCTCTCTCTCTCTTTGACTCATCCGTTTAATTTATTTTAACACATCTTTGAGACCTCAAGCTTTCTGTCATATTTAGTTGAGATTGGCCAAGAAGGTCATGTGCTTTTTAGGAGGAGCACAGGAGAAAAAGTACAGGCGTGCAGGCAAGCATCGATATAAGCCTTGTCTCACTAGGAAATGAGGCTAAAAATGTGGTAGTTAGGTATATTTAATTGCTGAGAGTAAAGCTGCTTCATAAGAAATGGTAAGTTTAATTACTTTGCATAAGATTTGTTCATGTGTGGCCATTATAGAGAAGTGTTGTGATTGAAGACGAGCTTGTGCTACAGTGCAGACAACTTCCCCACTTCCAACCCTAACTTTATTCTTAATGTGTTGAGAGTTGCTTTGTGCAATTTTTAGCAGCATTGTGCATTTGTTTTATTAATAAAATAAGAATAGGATATTACTTACCTTAATTTTGAGAGGCTTATAGGAATAAATATTTTATACTTAAACAGAGATTCACCATGTCACTTGTGAAAATGCCATACACTGTTACATCAGAAACATTGACAGTGTTCTTCCAGTCAAGGAGTAACAATATGTTCACGTACATAGTAAACACATTCTTTTATATGTGTCATGCTTTCTGCTATATGGACCTGCTTTTTTACTATTAACATAGTAGATGTGTTAATAGATAATTATCAAGAGAATGCCTTGTGTGCATTCCTTACCAAATGTTTCCTGTACCTTGTGAGCTATTTTCTCCTTTTTGCAAAGCAAAAATTATATCAGCTAGAATAATGATGTGCTGAAGAATGGGTTTCTGGGTTTTGCATATCAATATTGTTAATCTGAACAAAAGCATCAACAAGATCAGAGGTTTGAAATGCTTGTTTCATACCTTTTTTTCTTTTCTCAGATTATCTCATTGCGTTTGTATGTGAGGTGTTTACTTTTCTTCTGTTCTGTACATCATGTGCATATTGCATCATTGTTATCTGAGTAGTAATTAACCATCCCTAATATTGATGGTAAAGTTATCGTGGGTCAAGTAAGTTCTTCTATGCTAAATTAGGCAAATTCTTGTTTGCAGAGAGTTTTTTGCCTGGTAGAAAACCGCAAAGTGTCACCTACTGTCATTCTAAGGTTTCAGGTGTAAATGTAGCCTACTATATGAGCAGAATCAACAGATAGTCCGAGGCTGGAGAATGGAGAACAATGCATAATCCATTTCTTCTAACATGTATTTTCTAGGCTCTTATTCTGAGTATGGCAGTTCCCACAATAATTGGATTCAGCTTGTGGAAAGAGGTAAGAAAAGTACCTTTTGTGTTTTTTTGTTTTGTATGTAGGCATAATATGAGTCAAAATGATGAGCAAATATAATGCAATATAGTTGGTAAAATATATATGATGAAATAAAAGCTGTCAGCCGCTGAAAATGTGTTTTGTTTTGGTGTTTTTTTTAAACAAAACTGTTTACATTTTTCAGTATGAGGTATTTGACAATTTAATTTGTTAATGATCACTTACTGTAATTAAGAAGTGTTTAAATACAGACTTTATGATATTCAGCTGTTATGCTTTGGATATATAAACTGACTCAACAAAGAAAATACCGCCAAATAAAAACTCAGGATACTGAAAACTGTGTTGCCCCAATCTTGGTTTTAGTGAGAGGGAGAGAGGTTAGATGGAAGTAAAATTATGGGAGGCCATACGCAAATAATCTGTTTGAAAAGCTCCCATCAAATTATAATAGAGTTAAATCCTTTGTGTAGAGCACTGTGTAGAGGTACGTATATACTACAATACAGGGAAGAAAAGCTACAGATGTTTCCATGTTTGAAATAAATACTTAGTTCTTTATTGCAAGTCACAGACAGACTAGGGTAAGAGTGTTTGGAAATTATTTTTTAAACTTCTGTAAGTGCAAAAAAATGGGACATATCCCTTAAAGTGTAACCCTCTGCCATACTGACATAGCTTCAAAATAGTTAGTTTGAATGGTTTTATAAGAATTCAAATATAAAAGCCAGTCTTAACAAACAGTATTTTAACAGATTTTGTAACATCTGTCTTATAATAGAAATTCTGGTTGCAATGTAATCTGACTCTTTTACACATTTCTGCCAGAGCAATAGATATTCTCCTGAAAAAAAGCTACAGTTGCTCAAAAGAGTTATGAAATCTATTACAATAGAGGAAACTAGTTTAGTTGACCAAATAATTCTTTTTCAGATTATTTTTTAATAAAAGCAGTGTGAGGGTTTGGACTCTAGAGGGCTTCATCCATTGCAGGTCCAGTTTTTGTTTTTAAGCAGTGGTGAACAGTTTGGTCTCCAGGTTTATAACTCATCCCTGAGCTTGGAAACTTTGATTAATAGTAACGGGACAGTGCAAATGCCTTGAGGCTCTTAATCTCTTACCGTGGCTATAAATGGCTGAATGTACAGCTCAGCATCTTTCTGCTTGGCTGCCTTCTGACTCAGTCTGGCATGGTCCTTCATCTAACTAGATTTTTCTAAGCGCTCTGATTGATAAGTGAAGCTGGTTCTCACTGGGGTGGCAGTAGCTGTTCCTCTTTCTGTCTGGCTCTTGTTCTGGGGACAGTTCAGGTATATGTATAACACCACTGCTACAGCTTTCAGCCCTGATGTAAACATATGGCACTGTTCTTGTGCTACCCTGACATGTCTGGTTGTAGACTGCTATCACTTGCTAGCTGAATTGTCCAGGTAATGGGGGTGGAAACTCCTCAGGTAAAAGCAGGCTCCCACTTCCAACTGTCTGTCCACTATGGCTGTCCCGAAGTAAGTTGTCCCTTTAGTCTGGCATAAGCTGTAAACTTTAGCCTTTTCAAAAAGTGCTGGCATCCAGTAGCTTTCACTTAGCATTTACAACAGCATGAATATGCTGCAGCCCCTCAAGGCTGGCCAGCTTCTAGCCGTCCGTTCTTCAGATAAACACTCAAAATGGCTCAAGGACTGACAAAATCTCCCATCTTAATAAAGGACCTGTTGTTACTTCACTCCTCAAACCTGACAGGATAGGGAAGCCATGGTATAGGCTTGCAACCTGGGCCGGTCTTCTTCTGTCTGACTTCCAGAATCCCTCCTTTTCCCAAAATGTTTTTCAAGAGCATAAACTGAGATATCCTACTTCATACAATATAGTGTACTTTCCTTCACTGCAGTGATTGAGGTAAAAGTCAGAGGCAGATTACCCACATTAATACTCTTCTAGGAAATTTCTTCTCTCCTGTCCTGCTTGCATAGCACCTTTCCATCAAGTCACAACAGTCCAACCCTTCCTGCTCAAGCAGGTTTACCAGGAGACATTTATCAGCTTCTTGGTTCAGTGCCCTTATTTATATGCATTTGCATATGAAAACCTAAACTATGATTTTGATGAATTTAAGACCAGTTAAAGTTGATGAATGTTGTTGGTGCATGGGGTTTTTCAAATTTTTTTTTATTATAAGTATTCTAATAAAATAGAGAGAGATGATAACTTGTGTTTAACATATTTGGGAGAAGGTCTACTGTTGTCAGGTAAGTATAAACTGTGTTTTGCAAAATACTTAAACAAAAAATAGTGATCAGGAGGGAAAACTCAGATGAAACCCATTTCTGTTGTGTTACTTAAGGCCTTAATGTAATGAGATGCTCTATAGATTTTTTTTTTTAACTGTAAGTAACCAAAAATGTTTCCATCAGTTTTTCCCTAGGATAATGACAGAGCTTTCAGAACTACAAGAATTCTATGATCCTGATACAGTAGAACTTATGACATGGATAAAGTAAGTATGAAGTCCTACATTTCTATTTTACTACTTTATGTCAGAGTATTTTTATCTCAGCATTTTGTGGAGCTACGTCTATTAATCTGAGTTTTCCCTTGCTGAGTCATTCCATGATGTATGGGAGGAGAAATGTGTATTTTATGTTTGGTATTACTCCCACGGAAGGAAACAGGAATGTATCATTGATTACAAGAGAAGATCCTGAAACATGCAAGCAAATCATGTTTAGTATCATTACTAGGCCTAATTTCCAAGTAAAGGTGGACGTCTTAGTACTTGGTTCTTTGCACGCTAACTTTTCAGTAGATTAGAGGATTCATGTAGATTGTAATGCCAATGGGGGACAGAAACACTGAAATTTTTGTGTGCAGGAGCCAGTAAAATGAAATGCCTGAATGTGAGGATTTAGAGACTTCAGTCAAGATACATGCAGTGTAACATGTATGATTCAAACTTCCCCTTTGACAAAAAGGCTGGAAGGGTTCTCATCTGTCTGGCTAGGCAGGACATAGCAAATACTGAGCTATGTTATATAGTTTATACTGAGCCATATACATAGCTAATACTGAGTCAAGTTATTTTCACAGATATATTTTTTTTCTCACCAAAAGTTTCAGAACTGGATTCTGGCCTCAATCAATCTAACTTTGAACTATGTCATTAGGAACTGCACTTCTCTGAAAAGTAGATCCCCTGTATTCAGATAACTTACTTATCTTTAACTGTATTTTTTTTTTTTTTTTAGAATATTATTTTATGTATTTATGTAGTCTTTAATGTCAACCTGTTCATCTTCGGAAAAGGCAAGGCTGGTAATTACGGTGTTCCAGCCAATTTCTTCTTTCTGTTAATAGTAATGTATGTTGTTTGTCACTGCTGTAGCTCTTCAAGGCAGCAAGTGGAATAATGCCAAGTACCTAATGGCTTTTACATTAGTCTGCATATATTACACTTCAAGTACATAATTAATCATGGTGAATTGCATTGAGATTCACTCAGCTAAGAGCAATTTGACTACCCTTATTTGTAGCAGCTGTTCATATTTTTTAATGAAAACAAAGATTTTTTTCTTAAGTATATACTTAGATATCCATATTGGAATTTTAATTGAATCCCATTATTACAGTATATTTTCTTAAAATTTTCGCTCTGATAATATGAATTTATTTTGATTTTTTTCTGCAGGAAAAGTTGCCCAAAGTCTGTAATAAAGTGTGACAATGACTGATTTCTTTCACTAATTCAGGAACACGAATAGTCAAAGGATTAAACCAAGCCCAGAAATATAATTACTGTAGACATTATTCTGTATCATGACACTATTTACTTGTAGATGATGAAATACATGGTCCTGGAGATCAAATGAAAATAATCACAAATCTTTCCCTTACGAGATAACATCATGTTGTTTCTCCTTCTCCCTACCCTCCCTCCCAAGCTTGTTTTGTCACAAGTCAGCAACCATTCAGAAAAGCAATAGTTTGATCCCTTCCAGGACCACTCTGAATGGTGCTCCATGGATTGCAAGAAGAGGAGAAGAATGGCCATCAGCCCTTGCCTCAGCAGGAGGCCTTCCTTGCAAACTCTGTATTGCTGCAGGTCTGAGCTTTTCCTGGCAAGGAAACTACTGCCACTGCAGCATTAACACCAATTGTAACTGTACCCCCAATGATATCGTCGTGTACTCCAATTCATACCGTAGCACCTTAAAAGATTCGCACAGCGTACAAAATTAAAAACATTGATTTCACAAATGTATCCTGTACTCAGACGTGTATGTTGATGTTGCTTTTGCAGACGACAGGCTCCTGTGGCTGCTGTGTTTGCAGGCAGCCCACAGTTAATGGGTGTGATTAAGCTTTGTACCGGATGGATGGTGTCAAGCTTGCCTTTATATAATGATGATGATCTTCTAAAAAGAAATGAAAATGTGAGTATCCAATTCCATAAATGTGTGTGTATTATCAGTGATTTATAGACTGTTCCACCATGTAAGACTGAAGAGCCTGATCAAGATGTGTGGGAGTGCTGTAAATATTAATGCTCGAAAGAAGATGGCCTTATAACATTCCTTATAACACACACATTTGCATTGCTCTTCTGTGCCGCCCAGGCCACCTGGTAATGCAAATTATTACATGTGAGTGGCATTCAAAATACTGCCTTTTCTCCAAAGTGTTTACAGTCTAAGGCGAGAAAAGAGCATGACGTCTTGTAAAGAAAGATAACAAGATAAGACCAATATCTAATAAGCTCACGAACAAGATTCCTTACTGAGCAGTATGGCTGTATTGAATTTTAGGCAGGCTGTCATTTCTGAATGATTGTGAGCGATTTTTATTCTGCATGTTTTGTCAGGGAGAAAGTCACAAAGCAAAACAGACTTGCCCAGTGACTACCTAGCAAAGAAATCAAAACTGCTATTCTATGTCAGTTCTCAGTCTGTATTTGAACACTCCAGGATTACAGTAGGGAGACAGAAATCTCTAGTAAGATACTTGACTTGGAAAGCATCTCACAGGAACTGTCTTCCTGTTTACCCAAATGTAATGAGAAAAAAAATAATCAAATAGAAGTAAGGAGAACATAGGAGTCCAGCAAACAGTGAAGGGAGTATCAAGTAGATTGACAATGCTTCACTCTGGACAGAAACAAATATCAAAACATTATTTCTGACAACTTTTCAGGCCACTTGAAATATATAAGATGAGAACTTGCCATCAGCAGAGGCAAATACTTCCCATTCAGCTGGCCATTACCTCACCTGTTCTGGAGATTTCAAACCCAAACATTTTATAGCTTGCTGTGTACATATAATTTGCTATTGCAGATAAGTTCCCCCCCTATGCCCCAATATTTAATTTATCACTGATTTTTGCATTGCATGAACATGTTTGCTTAATTTATAGATTTATCAGATCTATTCAAAGAGGTCAGCAGAAGATATTTATAAGATACTCACATCTTACAAAGCCAATTTTCTGATTATTGAAGATTCAATTTGCAATGAAGTGGGACCTGCAAGAGGATGTAGAGTTAAAGATCTATTGGACATTGCTAATGGTCATGTAAGTAGCAGTAAGAAAAAATGAATGTTTGAATGCATAAATAATTAATTTAAAAAGAAATCTTCTTATAATGCTGATCTTTTTCTGATTGTAATTGACATGTAGACAAAGACTCATGAATTTTAGAAGTGATCAATTAAGTTTTGGGTTGTCTGTTTCTTATACACCCGTAATCTTACCCCATACTGTTCTTTAACTGCCCTAATCCCTCCCAGTATATTAGTATTTAGCTGTACTGCTTTTCTGCCAATCATTAAATACCATTTAACTATATATAAATGTTTAAGACTGTAACACCTGAAGAGGTTATTGCAAAAGCAGTGAAGCTCTGCCTCAGAGGGCATTCTTTACTAGCTTTAAAGATGAAATTTTAAAATGGTATCATGGTTTCAGCCCAGCTGGTAACAGTGCCATGCAGCCGCTCGCTCACTTCCCCCCTCCCCCCGGTGGGATGAAGAGAAAATATAAAGGCAGGCTCGTGGGTCGAGACAAGGACAGGGAGGGATCACTCACCACTTATGGTCACGGGCAAAAGACAGGCTCAACTTGGGGAAGAAACTAAATCAATTTAATTTACTACAAATCAAAGCAAAAAAGGATATTAGGAAGTAAACACAAGCCTGAGAACACCTTCCCCCCACCCCTCCCTCCTTCCCACCTCAACCCCACTCCTGGTTCTCTCTCCCTCCTCCCCGTGGTGGTGCAGGGGGACGGGGAATGGGGGTTGGGGTCAGCTCGCCACACCTTGTCTCTGCCGCTCCTTCCTCCTCAGGGGGAGGAGGACTCCTCAGCCGTCCCCTGCTCCACCGTGGGCTCCTTCCCACGGGAGACAGTCCTTCACCAACTTCTCCAGCGTGAGTCCTTTCCGCGGGCTGCAGTTCTTCCCGAACTTCCCTGGCGTGGGTCCTTTCTGTGGGCCGATCTTCAGGCACAGGCTGCTCCAGTGCGGGCTTTCCCATGGAGTCCTGGCCACCTTCGGGGGTCTCTGCTCCCCCGCTCCCCTCTATGGGCTGGGGGGGACAGCCTGCTGTCTCACCAGGGCTGCAGGGGCATCCCCTCCTCCCCCGCTCCTCCTCCCCTCCTTCCTGACTGACCTCGGTGTCTGCAGAGGGGTTCCTCTCACATTCCGATCCCCTACTCACTGCCGGTTCCCCTTCTGAAATCTGTTCTCCCAGAGGCGCTACCACCGTCGCTGGTGGGCTCGGCCTGGGCCAGAGGCGGGTCCGACTGGGAGCCAGGGAAGCTTCTAGCAGCTTCTCACAGGAGCCAGCCCTGCAGCCTCTCCCCTGCTACCAAAAAAACCCGCACCACACAAACCCATAACAAACGGATAAACTCAGTTCTAAAACTCTGCCTGGGATGAGGACCAGCCTACCATTCAATTTAGTACAGCTTGTCTGGTACTGATGAGGTTACAAGTCTATTCAATTCAGTCCTGCAGATAAGTTAGCACCCCAATAGATAGTTTAAGCCCCAGCTAGTAGAAAGATTGGTTGAATGAACTGTAGAGTTAAGAGGATACCCATGAATGCTACTTCAGTCATTGCCATGCTTTGTCTGTTCTGAATGCTGATAGTGCTGCTCTTCCTGCCAAAGCAGGGAATGAGATGGGCTTTATAAAGTGATCTCATTACCACTTGTTCATCTGCTTCCTGGGACTCCAGAAAAAGTTTTGATTTTATAAAGGCAGGAGTGGCCCTCAACTCACTTAGGGTTTGGTTGCTTATTCTCAGGTCAATAGGAAAGAGGGAGTCACCAGTTACTTCTAAGCAATCACAGGTTAGCTTCATTTAGTTGGTTTCCTGACTAAGGAAAAGAACTTAAGCATCTGTTTGACATTACAGCCTGTTGTGTATTAACTATACCAAGTTAATCCTTGGTTTGAATATTTGGTGTTTTGTTGTTTGGTTTTTTTTTTAATGGGGAAGATACATATGTTTCTTTTGTATATAGTCTTATATTCCATTCTTGGGGAAAAATCCAAGCTGTTCGTCTGTGTTAGGTATTTTATAAGCCCTACTTTTGATGATACACATTTCAAAAGAACTTGTAATGCAAGCATTTCATTTCTGTAGTTGCTTTCATTTGGGGGAGTAATTATAGGGGTTATATGTTTGTCGTGGTTTAACCCCAGACAGCAACTAAGCACCACGCAGTCGCTCACTCCCTCCCTCCCCATCCAGTGGGATGGGGGAGAAAATTGGGAAAAGAAGTAAAACTCGTGGGTTGAGATAAGAACGGTTTAATAGAACAGAAAAGAAGAAGCTAATAATGATAATGATAACACTAATAAAATGACAACAGTAATAATAAAAGGATTGAAATGTACAAATGATGCGCAGGGCAATTGCTCACCACCCGCCGACCGACACCCAGCCAGTCCCTGAGCGGCGAATCCCTGCCCCCCACTTCCCAGTTCCTAAACTAGATGGGACGTCCCATGGTATGGAATACACTGTTGGCCAGTTTGGGTCAGGTGCCCTGGCTGGGCATGAGAAGCTGAAAAATCCTTGACTGTAGTCTAAACACTACTGAGCAACAACTGAAAACATCAGTGTTATCAACATTCTTCACATACTGAACTCAAACCATAGCACTGTACCAGCTACTAGGAAGACAGTTAACTCTATCCCAGCTGAAACCAGGACAATGTTTTTAGGGGATTACTCTTTAATTTCTCCAGGAATCTACAACTGGTGTCAGTTTCACTTCTAGGTTTCCTGGCCAGTTTATCCATGGAGGATATTGTCTCTGTTTTTCTTTCAGTTTTCTTAGCATTGCTGAAATGTATCCTTTTTCTTTCTTTGCCTTGCTGCTAAAATCATGTATACCATGATTATTCCATGTTGTAACTGATATACTGTACCATAACAGAGTGTGTGTGTATGAATAACCTCTACCATTGATAATCGGCACATGTTATCTCTCAGTTTCTTCTCAGATATGTTTTTGCATAAGTTCCTGTTCCCTTTTCACACTTAGGATGTCAGCTGGAACAATTAACCACAATTTCAGGATTCCACACAATCTTGATCTCATCCTAACTTCAGCAGCACAGTTTTACTGTTGGGTTTTTAAGTTTTTGTTGGATTCATATATCAGAATGAGTTTCTTCCTCCTTTAATTCCTAACACCCAGTTATTTAGCAGTTCATCCTAAGGAACACTTCCCAGTACTTTTCAGAGCAGTTGTTGCTTATGATGATAATTTCAATCAAAGGGGGGAAAAAAATATCAAAAGACAGTATCCAGTGCAAGGAGCCTGTTTTTGATAAATGCCACACACAGCACTGTCAGTACAAAAAGTGAGACATCTACTGGTTTTGTGTAATTAGTATTGTCGAAGTGACAAGGGTTATCCTATTTACAGTGGAGAGATTACGAAGAGGAAAAGAAAGTTCATGATAAGAGTTTCAGTTAAAATCTGTTCTGCTGAATGCCTGTAATCTGTAAATCTGTAACAAAACAACTGGTATATACATTTAAATATAGAGAACTGAGTGTTCAGTATTTTTAGAAAAAAATTGGTTGGCTAGTAATGAACATCACTTATGCTTCCTGTCTGTGGCTGAGTCCATACTGGGTTGGATGCTAAAAATGTTAGTTGTAGAGAAAATATTGGAATGGCCAACAGGAATAAAGTCTTTTTTTCAGAAAGTTGACATCGTTTGTTCCTGAAAGTTGGTATAGTGTGTTGTCTCAGGAAGCTTTGAAACAAAATTCTCAGTTTGCTTGCTAACAAAAATTGTCTAAGTCATATTGAAACATTATCAAGACATTCCAAACTAGCAGAAGCTAGTGCATATGTAGTTGGAGACTGCAGCATTTACCTATTCCCAAAGTAAGTGAGACAGCGGACAGGCTGTTGTGCTGTTGACAGGCCTATGGATGTTTTTTTTCCAAATTGCTGTGTTTAAGAAGATAAGTATTAATTCCTAGCTTGGACTGTGTCCTATTGTCCTAGTCGTAATCTTGTTTCTGACACTGGCTGAGAGCATATGATTATTGATAGGGCAAGACAGATGTTTTCTGGCAGTCTGTTGATGAAGGACTGTAGCTCAGGGGATATACCTTTGTGTTTGGTAGCCACCAATAGGTTTTTCTCCATGAATTTGTCCTACCACCTTTTTTTAAACCCATGTAAATTTGTGCCATCAGAAGGACTAGCGAAAGGATTTCTTCGAGGATATCAGATAGTAGGTGCTAAAATGCACAAGCAATTTGCTTCTAAGTCAGTTGGTTGGAATTTATAGGGCAATGTGTGTGTGTGTCTTCAGTCTTTATTAGGTATGTCAAACTTACTTGGCCTGGAAAAGGTAATGGAGAATTTACTTCCCTACATAGGTGGTATGCTATGTGCAGGTCAGGTTTGAAGTACTGGGTAGACAGGACATGTGGATAATTTCCATTGCTGTTGTTCTTTATTGTATGAATAAAGTACACTGGCTTTAATGTCTGCTACCCTGACAAAGGTATTAATTCACAAAAGCTATCTTAAATGGTTAAACTAGTTACAGGGGAGTACATTTTCAGCTTATTGGAATCATACAGTATGGAAATTAAATGCCTATTGTAAATTAAATTTACAGAATACAGAAATAAATTAAATGTACAGAATTACGTTCTGTAACCACTTATCTTCAGTATTTTAATTAGATCTTCTTCTTTTCTGACAGGTGGTTTGTGAGGAAGGCGACGGCTATGCCTACTCAAAATATGGACGATTTTGTCATGAAATCAAAATGAACTATTCTCCATATGTGAATTATTTTACTCGGGTATACTGGAATAGATCCTATTTTGTATATAGAATCAACACTGTGATATCCTTCCAGTCGTGAAAAAGCATGCAAGATTCTTTCTGAGGATTGTGAATGAAATTCAATTGGAAAAGTTCCTTTTGATCAAGGAAGTTATTTTTGCAGATACATGTGTGCACATGCAGAGTATTGACAACTTTATTTTACCAAACTGGAATTCTTTGAACTACAGATCAACAGACATAGATACCATCCTTGAAGGAAACAGGAAAATTTGTCAATTTTACAGTCTCTACAAAGTGTGACAGTCTTCCACATTTTTGCATTTTTCTTCCCATTTAAATCATCCTAATCTTCATGTAAATGAGATTTCTAACTTGAGTGTTAGAGAGCTGATGTGGGTAGACTTCAGTAAAAGCAGAAAAATTATTTAAAGAGTTCATTTAAGTCATACAGCTTTTGTTTTCTAGAAAGAAAGCAATCGGTATCCCAAGTCTTTTCAAGTAAGTGTTTGGGGTTTTGGGGGTTTTTTTGTTGTTTTATTCTTCCTGTCTTCCAGTCTAAACATTTCTGTGTTTATCAAACACACATTCCTACATCTTATGTATAGCTATAGTGTTTGTATAAATCAAGTAAGGAAGATTTTATTTAAACAACACTTCCATAGATTAAGGCACTGATCTCTACATTGCTAGCGACATGTTGGTGCAAGTGCTTGGACTTAGACCTAGCAGTAGGGGTTGACAAGGTCAGATCTTCAGTTTGGAAAGAACTTGTCTTCAGGATTTCTCCATGCTTAAATGTGTATGTGTGTATGCATTTGTGTGTCTTAGCAGCCATCAGAATGGGCCAGTATACAACAGTATGCCATACTTGGTTTTAGACAAGTGTAGCAGGACAACTAGGTTTGCTACTGAGACTTCTGCACTTCTGTTTCACCCCCTCTGTGTGCGTGCTGGTATATATGTGTGTGTGTGTATGAGGGGATGGGTGATAGTAATTTCATTCAACTTACTGTGTGATAGTTATATTAAGGTAGTGCCATAACTGTAACTTAAAACACTATAATTGCCACCATTAATAAATAATGGTACAGTTGTTCATAGCTATTTTTATATCAATTACGCAACTACACCGAGATCTTTGAAAATTTGGGAACGTACTCTGCAATCTTGCTTCCCGCTAAAATTTGTCTTCCTTATATGACCCCCTTTGCCTCTACAACTATTTTTCTTAACAAATTATCTGTTCATCCTGTTTGTTGCTGGCTGATATACTTTCAAGAGAATGAACGATGCTTTAATTCCAACTCTGGGCCTAATCCTGGTGTTGTGAATGGAAAATCCAATAAAAGGTAATGGTAACTTTGCTTACGTAAGTGTAGCTGGACAAAAAGTCAGGACATAAGTTTTGGCAGAGGTTATTCACCCATTAGGAGTTACCTGCAGTTATGGATTCGTGTAACACCTGGCCCAGAGACCAGTCTATTAGGCATGTGGGAATGATTCTTTGGAGCCCAGATGAAGGTTCTGGCATAATAGGATGCGCCTTCAACTGAAAAATCTGCAAATGATTCTGCAAATGAAAGCTGCAAAACGATCCTTACCGCACTTCTTGATAAAATGCAGATTCAGAGATTTTAACTGTGAAAATATTACGAACTGCAGCATGTTGGTGTATATGCGTGATTCTTATCTGCTCTATGCAGATACATTTGCTTACTTTACACTAGCAGGTAGTGCTGAGATTTTTTTTAAAACCTATTATCACTATTGGAGTGATTTAAAAGAAAAAAGCTTTATTGTTGTAAGAGTCAACATGTCTGTAATCTGTTTTTTTTACTTTCAGTTATATTTTTAGGCCTATGAGTCTTGACAAGATGTTAAATTATGCATTTTATTTGAAACCAATGTTGAGATAAATCCATCGAATATACTGGATGTGATCACTGAGAGAAACATTTATCAGTACAACTGAGTTACAAGTTAAAAGTGAATATCCTTTCTGGGGATACAGTCGTTGTGTTGAGGGTAGTATGTACATGTGTCTCTGGCCAAATACAGTCTGCATTTATTTGCTTATGCACAAGTGCATATGTTTTACTGCACTGGACTGTTTCAGACTTTTCAATTACCATATAACAACAGAAGCTAGTGTATTAACTTAAGCTATGGCAGGCCTGCAGGAACCTTCTCTGTATGTGCTAGTATGGATGTAGGTGTAATACTTGGAAGTGAGTTTAGAGTTCCTTATGCAATTTAAGTTTGTTTGAATCACTGTCAAGGAATTACATGTCTGTGTGTTAGTCATTTACTTGCCTGAAGTTAATCATTCATGAATATCATTTCATAACAGCAATAAGGCATTCCAGGTAGCAAACTTCAGGGTTACAACTGCACTTGGGTGGATGAAGTCGCATAGCTTACGGCTTCATGCCTTAGATTGCCATGCCAAGATGCAATATTTAACTGTCCTTGACTGCCTGTTGTGTTTTACTGCAATGCTGTATGTATGTGCTACCACATGTAAGTATTCAAACAATGCTCTATGTAGAGCACACGTGTAAAGAAAAACATAAATGCGGCCATCTGTACATCTAAAGAAAACTGTCTTGTAGCATGTTGGCCTTTATACATGTTTAAACGAACATGTTGAACTTCATTTGAACTGTGACATAGTTGTTATTAGTTTTGTCATAGTTTTTAAGATGTATTCTTGATACTTCAATTGATTCTGGTTTAGGAGAATCATTTAAGATTTTTACCTTGCTTTTTATATTAGAGAAAATTGTATTGCAGCACCATTGGCACAGCAGCCTTAAGTAACAGAAGGAGCCTTTTATGTGGGAGAAACATTGCTGTTGTTCCAGTAAAAAGGCATAATTTTTAAAACAAGTGACTGGAAGAATCATATCTTACAAAGAAAATGATGAGCTTGGATTTCTTACCCAGCTATGGATTAGCAAAAATAATTATTGTCTATTCTAGTCTCCATCTTCTGTGAAAAATAAACAGTACATTTCATGATATCCCTCAGAAGGACAACAATAGGGCATAATTACATCGGACTTGTACACACAACCTTAGCTCAGTTTTCAACCAGGTCACAGGTTTAACTCCCTGAAAGGCCTGGGTGAACATTTTGCAAAAAATGATCTGTTTTGCTGTAGATGTTGCAATTCAGTTGAAACATGTGCCTTGCAAGCTTTTATTAAACAAACAAAAAACTCAATTTGTGTTTCTTTTTGTGAAGATTTTTTTTTTAAATTCCTATCTCTCTGATTTCTAGAGCTTCCGTTGTGTCTTAATAGCCCAGCCTCCAAGGATGCTCCTGTAGTAAGTGGTGCAGCTAGGATGTATGCCAGCCATCTAACAGCTGTTCACTGGGAAGAATGAGAATTTGCATAGCAATTTGTGTTGCTATTTTGCTGGCTTATTTTCTCCTTCACATTTCCAACTTCTGATATGCTTGATCTTAGTAAATGCAAAAAAATTACCTTGAAAGAATAAATGAGTATAGTATTTTCAGGCACTCACCTGTTACTGTTAGACTTGTGGATGAAAGTTGAGTCAAGCCACAGCTAAACTGACATGTACAATTTTGTCTTAATCTTAAAAAAATGCTCTTTCACTTCCTGAATTACCACATACTTGAATTCAGTTGATAGATTTGCCAGGAGATGTTTGAGACTAATTAAGTAAAGGCATTTCAGAACATAAGCTTCTATTCATGTTATTTTAAAAAATACTGATTTTATTTCTTCCAAAGTAAATGGAAGTACAATTAATACAATACAATCTTAAATGCAATTTCCATTGAGGGGGTAAGGAGGAGATACACAAATATGGAAGAAGGAGGGCCGAAAGGTTTAACAGGCATTGAAAATTCTTCAAACTGCTCTGGTGGCATTACTACTTACTGAAAGGTAGAAGGTTAGGGACCAAATCTTGCTCTTACCACCTTATTTTTACTAAGTCATCTGCAAATGTCCAAATCTTGTGACCCTTCATCAGCTTTCCCATGCAATTCACATGAACAGGAGCTGCAGGATTGGGTCGTAGGGATTGTAAGCTGTCATTGAAACACTTCTTGATGACTGCTGTTAACTTCATATAATCTATCCTTTAACCAAATATCTAACAGGAAGAAAGCGTAAGCTGTTGGTGTGTATGCGTGGGCATGCACGTTGTGTTTGCATTTAGAGATGGCTGGTTTACTGTTGTGTTTTGGAGATGTAACGAGTAGCTTCTGTTATCGCTAATGGTGGTTGAATCTATTAATCTTCTAAATAACTTACAGGCAGGTGGACTTTAGAGTACCATGGTATTAGAGATGAAAGAAAAGCTGAATTTATTCCAACACAAGCAATATTTCATGTGAAATAATACCTCAACATAAATCTGTATAATCATGCCTTTAGTACTCTTTTTAAAACTTAACTTTAGGGGAAAAAAAAGAAGTGAGAATTCTAAAACATGCAGTGTGTGTTTTTTTTTTAGTAATCATTTCTATTTCATGAGTACAGCTAAAAGAAAATATCACCATTATGTTGCTGCACTTTTACTATGCCAAATGCAGAGCTAGCAATGCCTAAAGGTCTTCTGAATTGTTTGGTACCTCAATTAGATTTTTAAACGTGTAATTAATCTGGCAATGTTTTTGATTTCAGCACAGTTAAATGTATGTAATTCTGCCTTTCAAGTGATGTTTAAGGTTACCTATTTATTTGATGGAAAAGAGGTGGGTGTTTAATGCCTTTCAAAGTTTCAAACTTTGTTACTTCAGTAATGCAGAACAATTATTGGTGGTGCTTTACTTGTTAACAGTGACATTTAGCAGTAGCATGTATGGCATATGGACGTATCTATGTGCCGCTATTTAATAACAAATCCAAGGAATCCAATTCCTTTTATCTTGTTTGTTGTCTTGGACAGTTTTTTATCAAAATAATGTATACATCGTAAATATTTTTCTCTTGTGACAAACTTTTTTTTCTGTGGGAAACAAAAATTGTAATAAAAGCCAAGTTGAGAAAGTATGGATTGTTTGAGACACCGTTTTATGCTTTTTTTTGAGAAGTCTGATACCCTTTCACAAAAACCATGTAGTTTGTAATGAATTAACCTCCTTCCACTGTTGCAGTAATAAAATGATTTTTGTATTCTGTTGTATTATTTGCATATGCAATTTTCAGTCAAGTGAAGACTGCACAGCATAGCTAAGATATCTGTCTTGACAGGACAGCATAAATAGTCTTGCAGCTCTTGAGGATTACCAACCTGCTCAGACTGGATCCATATGTCATGCTGACTGTGCCTACCTGTTGAGATATATTGGTATGAAGATGAGCGGCAAAATATGAGATGCTTCTTATGGAATTACTGAACTCTGACTTTCTCCCTACAGATCCTCCTACAGCAAGCATGTCACCTGGAAATAAATTCCTATGCAACATCAAATGCTTACTGATTTATTTAATTTTTTTAATCAACTAATGTATTATCTGTCTTGCATTTTTACAGATCATGGTTACATATATTGGAGCCTTCTGTCATTTTATAAGATATTAGTAGGAGTGAAATCTTTCAGTGCAGACTACTGTATAATAATTTACCATGTAATGATATGAAAACCTTGAGATTATTTTAGTTAAATTCTGAAGACGGTAGAAATACCTTATGAAGTGCTTCTCCAAAAATCAATCATATAGCACCTTAGGAAATACATATTTACATCTTTAATTTATAATGGTTCTGAGTTTGAACATTCATCAGACTGCTTCCTTTTAGACCAGTCAGGAAATGCGCTGATGTTGAAGTATTCAAGTTTATCCATGAATTCTTCAAGCACTCAGGCTTTGTGATTGCTTCGCAGAAAGGGGAATGGAGCTCCCTGGCACCGTGTTTGTTGGTTCCATATGTTGGTGTTTGTGTACTCTTCCATGTCTTTTTCCAAAACTGAGACCATCATTACCAGCTGTGAAATACAGAATATTCTATTATATATAATAGAATTTGTATTCATAGATATGTGTATATAAATAGGTGTATATAAAAATGTGTATATGTATTTTATGTGTGTATATAACTCTGTATAAAATACATATTCTGATTATAATCAGTGTTTAAGAGGTGTTAGGTAAAATTACTGTTGGTTTGGGTTTTTTCGCCCCTAAATGATAGCTCTGTAATCTGTTTCTAGGACCTAGTTTCCCAGATTTTCTGATTTTTGCTGTAAGCCAGACTAGCATACTTCAATTGCTGTATGCTTTCAGATTGCTTAGGTAACAAATGTGATAGACATTTTTTAATAGTAGTGAGATGAGATGCATCTCATTATGAATTAAATTGCATATATAGAATATGCAAACATAACGCAATATAGAGGAATACTGAACTATTCAGTAGGTTATAACACACCAGCAATATATACGTTTACCTTCAGCGTTTTGAGCAGCTTTATAATCCCTTGGACTTTCTTCTTGTTTCAAAGTTACAACTGTAATGTGTCTGCTGTCAACCCTTGACTCCTGACGGTACCATACTGACTGGTTATAGAAAGACCAAAACCATGTTAGACTGACTTGTTTTTCACACTGTTGCAATAAATACCAGCAGGTTCTGTAAGATGAGCGTGGATATAAAACGATGCCTTACGCCATTCTCCCCTCTGAAGAAAGTTGACAAAGGACGGGCAAGAATGCAGCTGCCTTCTCTTCGCTGCGTCATGTTACGCTGTCTGTGAGACCCTGGGCGCAGAAGCTGCGGTCTCCCTGCAGTAACTGGTGGATGCTGGAAAGAACGCGTGTGGTTTCCTTGGTTGATCTAACTTCAACTCTGGACAATAATGCAAAATCACTGCTGCAGAAGCGGTTGACCTGTTTATGCAATTTTAGAAAGGTACATTAAAACCAAGTCTTGTTTTTATTTAAGCATGAAAACTTGTTTCTGAAAGACACACTAAGAGTAATTTGGATCTATTTCTGCATTATTAACACCTAGATAAATGCTGCTGCTTTTTTAATTTTTTTCTTTTTTTTTCTCCTCCCAGTTTGGCCCATTTTATGATGATTTGAGCAGTAGTCTGAACTGCTGGTTCTAGGGCCTTGTCCCAGCTGCGAGAGAGGGCCAGAGGAAGGCTGTTGGGCTTGCTGATAGTTTGGCCTTAGAATAGCAACTCTTAGATTTAGTGGTTGCAATTCACAGTCCCCAGTTCACCAGATAAGGTTTGCTGGGGAAGACTCTGAAAAATAAATTTCACTATGGTTCTTTAGCAATAGAAGCTGATAGTGTCCTGAAGATATCCAAGGAGCTTATTTATTTCTTTTCCATGTTGTTTTCTATCAATCAGAGCCAAGAGCCATCTCCACTATCCTTACTCAGGTCGCCTCTTGGATTAACGCTGTATCAGTCTCCCTGTGGTTTCTGCTTCAGTTTCGCAGGAACAGTCAAGTTCCTTTGCAAAATACGGCTACACAGAAAGAGCCATACCGTTTTCTTGGCAGTGTTCTGAGAAGGA